AGTATTACTACACGCTGCTGATCTTAGTAATACTGTTCGCCCTTGGGATATATCTAAACGTTGGTCTGATTTAGTTGTTGATGAATTCTTCCATCAAGGCGATCTTGAAAAACAAAATAATCTTCCTGTATCCCCTAATATGGATAGAAAACAAGCTCATCAATGTCAAATAAGTCTTGGTTTTGGTGACTTTGTTGTTAAACCTTATTTTGAAGCTTTTGCTTCATTTTTACATGAAGCAACTATTTTTCTGGACATTTTGGCTGAAAATCGTATTCTTTGGGATGATATGAAAAATGCTCCTCCACCTCCTCCAACATTATTAACTCCTATTCCTGATGAATCTGAATCCGAATCTTCTAATGAGGTTAACGACGATGATTATTGTCCTAAAGGACACCGCCGTGTCAGTTTAGCTGCTGGTTTATTGATTATTCCGGATGATATACAAGAAAAATTACGCTTAATGTCTTTACAACGTCATCCCAAACATCACCGAAAACTAAAACGTAGTCTATCGGGCCGTTCATATAGTCATCACGCATTATTACCTTCTCTTCATATATCTGACGATGACGATGATGATGATGGTGATAATGATTATGGGGATGATGATTCTCGAAACCCAGCAGGAATAAAATCCTGTGATCCAAATTCTACCAATAATATTAATAATATTAATAATATTGATGAAAATTCATCAACTTTAAATCCATCTTCATCAGATTTAATAACTAAACCAAATTCAACAAATTCACATTACACTAATGGCAAAAAATCTAATCAGAAAAAATTGGGTAGGATGAGACGTAGTAGTTCTTTAGATCATAACATGATTAGACAAATAACTTCTTCATATGGTACTGGTGACTCACAACCCGAGCAAAGGGTCGTTGTAGCAGGAAGTTAGAATGCACACAATTCTCATTTTCTTTTTTTTTGTTCATATATACAAATAATCATATATACATATGTACATTCTCTTTTCCCACTCTTACTCGTGTTTATAACTTTCCCTTATTTCCATTCTCCTTATTATATCTTTTTTTTTTTTTTTTTAGAAAAATAAATGGTTTTTATTTCATCAAATATAGAGTTTTTTTACATAGACAAAAAAAAAAAATTTTTTTTATAAAATTTAATTATACGTGATAAAATTTCATTCGCGTATAACATCTAATATGATTTGTATTTTTCTTGTATATAATATTATTTCTTTTTTCTTATAAATTCTTATAAATTCTTATAAATTGGGGATTTTTTTTTCTAAAGTCTTGAACGATTGAAGCAAATAATAATAAAAAAAATATTGTCAAGTCTTGAGTTTTTTTTTTGCAAGAATGGTTAATAGTTTGTTAATAGTTTTGTAAATATTGCTAATAAATATTGAAGTAGTGAAAATTGAAATATTGCTAATTCATTATCATTAATCATAACGTAACGTTAAACGTTAATTCATGCTTGTTGATTCATGTTTGTAAATTATGTTAATTCATATTTGTAAATTTATATCAGATATTATATTTGTATTCATTTCTAAATTATGTTTGATACGATTCTTTCGACTGGTAATTTCGGTTAATTGAAACAAGTTACAATTCATGCAATTTCATGCAATTCTGATTCCGATGATTCACCATGCGGCAGTGAAAATCTTTAAAAATGTTACACAAATGTTACAATTCGAAGTTTCGAATACGTAAAAGAATTTGTGTAATAATCTGAGCCTCATGGCAAAGATTAAACAAATGAAAAAGGATAATTTTTCGGGAGGCGTGCATTATTTTGTATTGTTTGTTATCTAGACTCTTTTTTTTTTTTTTAAGCATGCTCGGATCTTTTGAAAAATAATTGCTAATTATTTCACCACCAATTTTATTTTTGATTCGTTCATTTGGTAGTAGTAAAAAAAAATTGTAACGAGTGAATAATAATTTAAACAAATTTAACTGTTTATTTTAATATTTATGCTTAAGGATTCTCGGCTGTTTTGTGGTGTTCTAACCGTTGTACATGAAATTCATGAAAAATTTGTATAACAAATTAATATAACGCGTGATGGATTATTATATATGGGGCTTTTGCTAACAAAATGACCCTCCGAGCTATTGTTACACAAGATTTTAATTAGTAAAATCATAAC